CATCTCTCCCTCCTCAGCACCATCTGGATGAAATGGTTTAGGGAAGCAAATTCAGGCGGGGCCGACAGAGAAGGGTGCTGGACTGTTTGGTGACGACCTTCGAGCTTTGCCCAATAATGACAGAATATTTAGTGGAACGGGGGCCAACAGGAAGGGGATGACATGGTGGGGGAAGACGGGCATACCCTCCTGGGTTGGAATTCTGCTTCCCTCTGTGGGGCCTTGGGGGCGTTACAGATGCGCGGTTAACTTGGTTTCTGGGAAGGAATAACCGTATCTGCTTCGTAGGGCTGTTGGAAGGAGGCTGAGCATAAAGAGCACAGCACCGTTTTCTAGTATTGGGTATCGACAACAAGACAGTCCTGGCCCCTCTAAGACCCTTCTCTCATTCTGTCCCCACTGGTCCCCATTCTGTGAATTGAGGAAGCTGGAACTGGCTCCAGCAACAGAGCAGGGAGACAGCCACCGTCTTGCCCCGGTGTATGGTCACCCCAAAGGTGCCTGTGGCCCCCAGCCACGCTCTGGGTGGACAGATGGTCACAGGTGACAAACTCAGGAACTTGCACCACTTTGAGGCATGTTATAGTCTCTGGTGGCCTGACCAGACCTCCTGGGCTCTGACTGACCCAGAGGCTGATGTGTTGCCCTGATGTGAGGGTTTCCTAAACAGGCGATCATTATTTTGTCCCCCAAGGGGATTGTTAGGGCAGAGTGTGTCACCAGCAACTTTCTTCTCACAAGAGGTATTGTGAGAGATGGTGGCAGGCCGATCAGATATATGGAAACTGGAAGACACGAGGGGTGGTGACAAAGGCCCTGAGAGGAAGCCAGAGGCCTGGAGCCAAACCCTAGATGCCCTCACTCTGCTCTTCCCAAGGAACCCCAAGACTCCCCCTGGCCCTTTTCCACCTATAAAATGAAACTTTTAGAGGATTCAGCATTCTCTAAGGCTCTTTGTCGTTCAACTAGTCCAAGGTTCTGTGTTTTCAGGCAAGCAATCAACAGCCCTTTATTGAGCACCTACTGTGTGCCAGGCACTGTGCAAAATGCTGTGGACTCTGAAGCCAGGGTGCCTGGTGCACATCCTGGCTCTGCTACTTCCCAGCTGTGTAACCTCAGTCGAGTCTCTTAACCTCTCTGTGCCTCCGTTTCCTCATCTGAAAAATGGGGATAGCAATGGTGCTGCCTCTTTAGGCTGGTGAGAGGACTCAATGAGTTGGCGGAGTGCCTGGAGCTGCCCAGCACACAGTAACTGCCCAGCACACAGCCCCATCCTTGCTGTGGGTCAGGCTCTGGGCTGGGAGATGGGGCCATAACAACGAACAAAACTAGACTGGTCCCTGCCCTCAGGGAACTGACAGCCTCGTGGCAGGGAGACACGGATTGCCCACTGACACCTCGGTCATCCTAAGCCATTGCCAAGGGACAGCCCTCAGTTCAAGTCCCGCCTCCACCATTTCCTAGCCGTGTTGACTTGGGAAGTAATTTACCTTCTCCGTGCCTCAGTTTCCTCATCTGTAAGAGGGGGGTTATTTTGTTAAGTGGGCCTGTTGCAATGATTGACTGAAACGGTACCCGTAAAGACGGCACAGTGCCTGGCACATAGTAGGTGCCCTGTGAATAATGCAACTCAGTTGCTGCCTGCCTCCTCAACCTGGTCTGACACCTGAGCCTTTGAACTTTTGCTCCTTTGAACTTTTTTTGCCCCTGGGCAAGACTTCCTTTCGCAGCTTCCTAAACGCTGGCACCCAAATTTCCCTGCTGGCAGAGGGGAGACAAGGGACAGCACCCTCAGTGCTGAAATGTCTGAAGTCTGTCCTCCCGGGAACACTTCAAACCACATACAAATGCTGCTCTCTCCTCCTTATATTCATGTCCATTTTAATATAAAAGAACGTGCTTGCCCCACTAGTCTCCAAGCCGAGCTGACACTCCAGGACGAGCAGTCGCTTTTCACCCTGGGGTGTTTTGCAGCCCCACACAGGGCTGGCTGTATCACCCCGTGGGAAGAATAGCTCAGTGATGAGGCCGAGCTGCCTACCTGCGGGACAACTGTGCAGGGAAAAGCCAGGAAGAGACACAGACGCAGACCCGGGCCCCACCCCCAGGGGCCGGTCGGTCATTGATGGAGTGTGGCCCGAGATCGCATTCAACTTATCCACATCCCTTAGTGTTTGCGCACCAGCTGGTCAGAGTGGTAGCGCCCTGGGCCCTGCTAGGCCAAGCCTCACCCCTTTGGGGAGATCTCGGGGGTCCCCAGGAAGAGTGTGGAGCGCTCACGGAATGGAGAGGGGACTCAGGAGTCCACTGAAAATAATTATTTGCCAACCACTGCTGGGAACTATAGTGAAGGATGGCCTCTGCTTAACACCAACCACCGTACATACAGGTGGCCTGAACTCGGAGGCAAGGAGATGCCAGCTGACACACCGAGCTCTCTGAGTCACTGTTGGCACCAAGGTCCAGGCGAGGCCCTTGAAGCAAAGGCACAAAAAGAGACATTCCTGTTTGGCGCAAGCATGAGAAGAAAGTGCTCGGACAGGAGCACAGCCCCGGCCCCCCGCCTCTGCGGCTTCTCCCCACTCCCTGGAGAATCAGCCCCTCTCCCAGCTCTTCCACCCTTCCCTGGGGACACTAAGTGTGCAGGCCGTGCCGACTGGGGACAGTGGCTCCCCGGTCCCCAGTTCCTGATGCCTGAACACCAGCATCCTCTTACTGAGGAGAAGGCCAAGGGGCCCCTTAGTCCCACCAGCTGCCGCTGCCACCCCTGTGTGCCCGCCGGGCCGCTGCCCTCACTGGCACTCCCAACTCGGTGTGTCCAAGCCTCTCCTCAAAGCCGGTTCTGGCTGCTGCCTCCTAGGTTAGCTCACGGTGCCACCAGCGTCCCCACTATCCAGACCCGAACCCTAGCAGGTCATTGCTCCTCTCACACGCCAGCCTTTCGTCTCCTGGCTTGGCCTTCTGCAGGGTTCAGGATCCAGCTCAAATGTCACCTTGTCCTCAGAGGAGAGTGGCTCAGCCATCCTGTCTTTACCCCCGCCCCGCTGTATCGTGTCTCTGGTGGCGCCCTCTCTGCCCTGTAGATGCCGGTGGCCAGTGGTGAGGGGCTCAAGCGGGAGGGGGGGGGGCTGCGCCTCATTCATCTCGCCTCATTCATCTCGCCTCATTCATCTCGCCGCCCCGCGGCTCCGGCTGGGATTGCGTTCTGCTGGTGAGGTGGGCTCTAAGCGCGTCCTTTTTTCCCTTTCTCAGGGCTAAGCAACATTATCGGCATCATAGTTTATATATCCGCCAACGCCGGGGACCCCGGGCAGCGCGACTCCAAAAAGAGCTACTCGTACGGCTGGTCCTTCTACTTCGGCGCCTTCTCCTTCATCATCGCCGAGATCGTGGGGGTGGTCGCCGTGCACATCTACATCGAGAAGCATCAGCAGCTGCGCGCCAAATCCCACTCGGAGCTCCTGAAGAAATCCACTTTCGCGCGCCTCCCGCCCTATAGGTACCGGTTCCGGAGACGGTCAAGTTCGCGCTCCACGGAGCCCAGGTCCCGGGACCTGTCCCCCATCAGCAAAGGCTTCCACACCATCCCATCCACCGACATCTCCATGTTCACCCTCTCCCGGGACCCCTCCAAGATCACCATGGGGACCCTCCTCAACTCCGACCGGGACCACACTTTTCTACAGTTCCACAACTCCACGCCCAAAGAATTCAAGGACGCCCTGCATAACGACCCGGCCAACAGGCGCACCACGCCGGTCTGAGCCGCCCGCGCCCGCGCCCCTCCCGCCGCCCCGCCGTCCCCGCCCGCCTACCTGAGGCTGCTTGGCATGGGCCTCGCGATGGTATTACCACTTTTTACAAAGAGTGGAACCAGACGGACTCGGCCCCCCCACTCACTGCCCCTCGCCCTGCGGCCCCTCCCAGCCCCGCCCCTCCCAGCCCGTCCAGCCCGTCCTCTCTGTGTGTCTGTGCAGATGTGTCCCTTTCTTCCTTTTTTACTGGAAGGACCTCCACATTCTTCCCTCCTTGGAAGAAGACTTAAAGTCACGGGTGGTGGGTTGGGGGAGGGGGTCCCCGAATCCCCAGGCGCGAGCAGTTGTCCCCACTGACCACTCACACACGCCCTCAGGACACCCGCCAACCAGGTGGCCCTGGGGGAGGCATTCACTTATCCGTGTTAGACAAACATGACCAGAAATCAAAGCTGTCGGAGCCCAAAGCAGCTCATGTAATAAGCACTCATGTGATTAAAGGTTTTGCCTTGTCGTAACCACGAGTGGGCTGTTTCGTTTCTTCTGGGTGCGTCCGACACACTCTCTGCCCTGCAGTCCAACGCGCTTGTCTCCGCGCTGGGAGCTGAGCTTTGCTCACCCGCACTCCGACCCCTAGGAAGGCTCCCCATCTTGAAGTCAGCAAGGTGCGCCCACCAAGGCCAGAGTCCGAGCACCCCTCCCCTGAATCCCTGACGGCGTGTTCAAAAACCTGGCTGTCCACCCAGTGGCCCTAGGATCCCTGGCAAATCCCCCTACCCTTCAAGCCTCAGTCTCCATAAGGGAACATGGTACAGTGCTGTCTTCTGCAGAGTCACCGGGCTTAAAGTGCCACATGTAAAATGATTAGCACATGGTAAATTATATATACATATATACATATATACATATACATACGTATACGCAGAAAATTATGCACATGACATAGTCATCTTTTGTTGGTATCTATTATTACAATCTTAATACAGCTTATTCCTTTCTTAAAATGTGTATACATTTTTTTGGCACGCTCAGTATTTACTTTGGGGGTATATTTTAGAATGAGCATTGCATGAGCCTGGACTGCTGTAACAAAAAGCCATAGGTGGGCGGCTTAAACAACAGACATTTATTTCTCACAGTTTGGAGGCTTGGCAGTGTAAGGTCAAGGTGATGGCCAGCTGGGTTCCTGGTGACTGCCATTTTCCTGGCTTGCAGACGGCTACCTTCACTCTGTATCTGCACATGGCAGAGAGAGTCTCTCTCCAGCTCGCTCGCGCGCTCGCGCTCTCTCTCTCTCTCTCTCTCTCTCTCTCTCTCTCTCTCTCTCTCTCTCTCT